AAAAGTGTTGGGGAATGTCACAGAAAAAATCAGTTAGGACTGCAGGAAGGACAGTTTGACAGGCTTATGGGCTTTATTTGATCACACCGTAAGGAAAGAATTGAGGTTAAATTCCTGATGCTCTGCACTGGTGGCCAGACAATAGGGAGGAAGTTGAAAAACGAAAGTATGTTTCGGGGAGGTGTTAAAGGGCTGAAAACGAAAGCTTAACAGTGTGTGGAAATCATATCTGAGCAGACTCACTGGGAGCAGGAGTTAGAAAAATCTAAGACACAGAAAATTCCACTGCTTAAATACCCTGTGTAACAAAAAATATATAATTGACACAGTGGGTTAAAACTAAATGTGAGATGTTCTAAAACACAGGACATATTTGAGAATCTTGGTAAAGGGCCCAGAACTATTCTGTGCTAAGTAGGGAAAGGAAGGGTTGTTGGAATGGACTGATAGGCCACATATGCAGTCTCCCAGGACACCAGGACCTATCCTGCTCTTGCACAACTCTCGAGTGAGTGCCTCAAATTTGCACCCTGGTGTTTCTCTTGCTTCATTCTAGTCCCAGCCCTAGAGGCTTCACAGGGCTCTTTCTTGCAGCAACCTCCCCCTCTCTCCCCACTGCCTCTTTATCATTCCATAAACTTATATCACCTGCATTTCCTTCCATAATTAAATATAAAATATTTAAGTGGCTAATAGTGTAATAAGGAAAAAAAATTCCTATTTCTAGACTGTACCTGCTTATAATAGGAAATAATTTTTTTTTTCAGGAGTTCATCTTCAGAATAGATGATCTTTCAACTCTGGATGGCAGTGAAAATTAACAGAAGTGCAAGCAACAGGTTAGAGGACAGCTTGGTTCTGGCATGTTGCATAGACAACTGTAGATCTCAACCAGCTGATGAGGAGGTATAGAAAGAGAAGTACCTCAGAGACAAGAGAAATGTGAGGTCAGACTCAGGGATTCCTGGCAAGAGCACAGGCTAGCAGGTGAGGCACAGCCCTCCAGAAGTCCTCACCCAATGACATAGTCCATATAGAGTTGGTTGGCCTGAGTGCCTTGTCATGAACCAGTCCTGAGAGGGACTGTCATTCAAAAGGGACAGGCAGATAGCATTACCCCTCAGTGCCCCTCAAGGGGTGCAGAACCCAGGACAGAGACTTTCCCTGCAGTGGCTTGTGAAAAATTGCCAGGCAGTACTGCCTAGAGAGTGCGGCAGAGCTGGGCAGGGGCATCTTTTTTTCTTTTTTTTGTACCAGGAGTGGGGTACGAAAGGGGCATTTTGACGGACCCATGCCCAGGTAGAGTCAGCTATCTTTAAGACCTTGAGGTTTTGGTGAACAACACTCCTCCCCCGATTCTTGTTCTCCCATTCTCTTTCCTTTTCCTTTTCTTCCTCAGTCAGTATTCCCTTCAACTTTTCCATCCTTGGGCCTTGCTCATGTTATTCTCCCAGTTGGAATGCTGAACTGTGAATGCATCTCTCCTACCCAAATCTAAACAGGTACATCCTTGCAACTCCATATCAAGGTCTGTCTGTTCTCTAAAGCCTTTGCTAATCTCTCAAATCACTCTCTCCTCTGTGCCCTGAGACACACTGTGAGTCCTCCTTTGGTGCTAATTGGGAGGCAGTAAGGTGAGTGAAATAACTTGGAATTAGGCAGACCTTATCTGGAATTCTTATCTCCATCCCTGATTAGCTCTTATATACAGTAAATTTCTCTGAGCCCCGTGTCCCTGAAAAGTTGGGAATTAAATCTTACCTTGCAAGTCTGTTGTATAAAATATGGAAATATATATAATCATGGAAAGCCTTTAGGACGATTCCTGGCACATAATAGATACCCAGTACAAATTGGCTTTTATTGTTAACATGTGGAAACTAGGCAGAAGTGCATTTAGGAGAGAGGACTCAGGAAGCCAGGACTAGGAGAACAAAAGTAAGATGGGGGACAGATGTTGAGGCCAGCATGTATGAAGCACTTCAAGTTGGGATGTATCCAGACACAAAGGCAAGGGGAGCCAGGATGAGACACCAGGGGAGCAGTGAGAAACGATACAAGCAGCTGTGACCAGAGGTCATGGCACAGATGTGGCCACTGACTCACAGTGCTGGAATCAGAAAGAGCATGCAACAAACATTCTTGACTGTGGTGTAATAAAGAGACATACAGCTAACATTTACTGTACACTTACTTTGCCAGATCCTGTTCTAAGTGTACCAATCATTTACTGGTAGTTCTCACAACAGCCCTATGAATTAAGTACTATTATAACTGTCTCCAATTTATAGAAGAGAACACAAAAGCAGACTGTAAATGACTTGCCTGAAAAAAATACAACTAGTAAGTGTGGCAGAGCCTGGGTGCCAACCCAGACAATGTGGCTCCAGAGCCCATGGTTTTAACTACTACGCTCCAATAGGTGTCTCCTACTGGAAGTGTTTCTTTGTTTCTCCAGGGGCCAAACAGAAAGATGAGCGGCCTTACGCAAAGAGCCAGCAGTCAGAGCAAATTACCCCTAATGTACTTATCGCTAATGTTATTAACATAAAACATGGTTAAAGCAGCATTTGTGAAGATCTGCTGTGTTCCTGGCATTGTGTTAATGTGCTTTGTCTGTATTCTCTAATTCCCTTAACTAACATGCAAGACATCATCATATCTGTTTTATAAATGAAAAAACGAGGCTCCTGGAGTTGCCTTCTTCCCTTTCACATTGAAAGTGTACTGTTTATCCCGTCCATTCCTCACCCTACAACTGTTTAGCTTCTGGTTCAAGTTCTCCTCTTGAAACGCCTCTTACTGAGATTACAAATGATCATCCAGGGGACATTTTTCAATGATTAACTCAATGACTCACTGTTCTGCACTCCTGCTTGATGACCACTCCATCTTTCATCATGTCCAGGGCCAGTTTGTTCCAGGACTGTCTGCCTCTCTGACCTATTTTTACATCCCCCCCCCAATATGTTTATATTTCTTTTTTCTTAATGCTGGTCCTTAAATGTGGGTCTTCTCCAGAAGCACATCCACATGCTTCCTTAATCTACATACTCTCCTTGAATGTTTCGCCCACTTCCTAATCTCAGCTACCACTGAAATGCTAAAGGTAGAGGAGATGGTGCCAGACACCCATAAACTTGAGGCAAAGATTCTTTACATACTGGAGCCCCCTGCCTGTATCTCAAATTCAAGTGTATCAAGTTGAACACATGCAACCTTTATCTGTACCCTCCCCAACATTGCCTGTCCTGGCCCCACCCCATCCTCCTCCTCCTTTTCATCACTTCGGTTGAGGTGCTGCCATCCACCCAGTTACACAAACCTAGAACCTGAAAGTCTTGTTTGCCTCCTCCTCCACCCTTCCAATCCATTCAATATTTAGGAGCTGTCCATTCTACCTCCATCTTTTGGATTAGCTTACTGCTCTCTACCAACATGGGGAAATCTAGTGGAAGCCAATAACATCTCTCACCTAGTTGACTGACATAGCTCCCTCCAGTCTGACCCCTTCTACTGTTTTATCTTCCCTAGTCATAAACTTTTTAAAGCTCAAATGCAGGAAATGACATGAGCTTTTAACCCCTTCTTTGACCTTCATTGCTCTCCAAGCTTCATTGCTCTCTAAGGATAAACTCTAAGCTCAACAAGGCATCCAAAGCTCTCTGGACTCCTGTTTCATTCTGCCTTTGGACCCCATGTCTTGCCACTCCAACCTCCAGTTGCACCAAACTTCTTGTTTCCTAAACACACCAGGCCTGGCTAATTGTTTTCAGCATTTAATAGCCCCCAAGTCACCCCCTCCAGGGAGCCTTCTCTGATCTCCCATGCTGGGTTAGATGTTTCTCCTTAATGCTTCCTTATTCCCTTGTAAATATTTCTGTCACTTTTTTCAATACCAATTTATGATTATTCCCATGTTCATCTTATTCACTTGGGAAGTTCTTAGTTGAGGGCAGGGACTATTGAATTCTCAGGATCTAGCGCATAGTAGGCCCTTAGTAAATGTTCGTTGAATGAATAAATTATTCATTTCTCAAAGGGACATTGCAAATAAGTTCTTAAACTGGAACCACAATCTGTTGTACTCTAAAGCTCATGTTCTTTTCACTAATTAATTGGCACATATAAAGTGTTTAGAGTCCTTTAAAAGCTGGCATTTTAGGGAGCCAAATCCTGTAATAAGTTTTCTTCCAATATTTAAAATTGTTTTTCATTTTTCAATAATACATTCACATGGTTCAGTAATCAAATAGTATAAAAATATATAGCACCCAAAACTATTGAAAGCAGGGTCCCGAAGAGATATTTGGACATGCATGTTCATAGCAGCCTTGGTCACAAGAGTTAAAACATGGAAACAACCCGATTATTCATTAATGGGTGTGTAGATGAGCAAAATGTGGTATATACATCAATGGAATATTAGCCTCAAAAAGGAAGGAAAGTCTGCAATGTGCTACAACATGGTTAAACCTATAAACCGTTAGTACAGCGGTTCTCAACCTGTGGTCGCGACCCCTTTGGGGGTCAAATGACTTCTTCACAGGGGTCGCCTAAGACCATCGGGAAACACATATATAATTACATATTGTTTTTGTGATTAGTCACTATGCTTTAATTATGTTCAATTTGTAACAATGAAAATATATCCTGCATATCAGATATTTACATTATGATTCATAACAGTAGCAAAATTACAGTTATGAAGTAGCAACAAAAATAATTTTATGGTTGGGGGTCACCACAACATGAGGAACTGTATTAAAGGGTCGCAGCTTTAGGAAAGTTGAGAACCACTGCTTTAGGACATTATGCTAAGTGAAATAAGCGGGTCACAGAAGACAAATGCTGTATAATTCCACTTATATGAGGTACTTAGAGTAGTCAAGTTCACAGCAACAAAAAGAATGGTGGTTGCCAGGGGCAGAGGGAAGGAGAGAATGGGGAGTTATTGTTTAATGGCCATAGAGTTTCAGTTTTACAAGCTAAAGAGAGCTATGAGGGTGAAAGGTGCTGATGTTTGCACAACAATGTGAATATATTTAATACCATTGACCTGTATGCTTAAAAATGGTTCAGATGGTAAATTTTATGTTATGTGTATTTTACCACAATAAAAATTTTAAAGCCCAAAACAAACAAACAAAGATATTGCAAAGAGTCTCATCTTCATTTTTCTCCATCTTCCCAGTCCCCACTTCCTCTGCCCCAAGGTAATCAGTCTAGTTAGTTTTTGTATCTCCTTCCAGGTTTTCCTTTGAAAAATGCAAGTGAATATGAAACTATATTCTTCTTCACCTCTGACTTTTTAAAAGGTATTAAAACATTTTTCAAAACGTCTCTACTTTTTTCTGAAGTGGGTATGTATTAGCAAAAAGAACGAATCAATACCCAGGTTGAATGAACTCAAGATGAAGACGTGGAAGAGGACAACTAATTGATGAGAGGGTAAGATAATCCTGCCACCTCACTCCAATGGGGTTTCTAGGGACATCCAGGGTCCCCCAGGACAGAGCCCACCATCCAGGTATCTTCCCCAGGCAGATTCTCAAGCTCCCAGAGTTGCTTTTTCTCTGGAACTCTGCAGGCCACTCCCCCTGATGCAATCAATATCTGGGTTTGGGCAGAAAGGAGGGTGCTATACGGCCCGCCCCTTCTGAGCTGTCTGGGCCGGCTCCTCTTTCCGGAACAATTCAGGCTGCACAACAACTGAGACCTCAGCTCCAACATCTGTTTTCTGAAGCAAGGATGGCTGGGATGGACAGGATGTCGCATTGTGAAAGGAAACAATGTTCCAGGTCAAACTGAGTCTGCCAAACACGGACCCTCACGAAGATTCTAGAAGAAATCTCGACAAGTCTTATCATGTGGCTTTTCTACACCTTGATTCCATGTTTGCTCGTAGGTAAGTATGAATTAGAATACAGCCAATAGACTGGGAATTGAATGTAGGTTAAGAAGGTGAAAGATACTTTCCCAGGGTTTGGGTTGCATTATATGCATATAACATCTTAAGTCTGTTTTCAAAAAGGTTGCTCATCTCCTAACCCTCCATCCCGCATACTAAAGAAAAGAAAAAGCCTGCATTCTGTTTGGAAATCTCTCTCCTAATGTCCACAGAACAATCTAGAAAGATAAAGCATCAAAACAATTAGTCTAAAAGTTAGCAGAGCTCCATGCATTTTGTTATTTATCTTATTATCTGGTTTTAAAAGGTGCAGCATAGTTATCTCAGTCTTTGTGTGTGCCTCAGAGATGTTAACTGTAGGGACAAAAAATAGAGTAAAGATTCTAACAAAATACACATGAATGAAAAGACACGAATTTCATTAATATTGAGTACAAAACTTGTAAAAATTGGATATCTCTTCTGATCACTGCAGAAAAGGTAGCAGTCAGGTAGGTACTCCATAGCATTAAAAAAAAAATTTGGTTTGAGGCACTTTCACTGCCAGTAAGATTACATAATTTTCTCTGCTCCACTCCTGGATACTTGTACCTACATGCTTTATTGTTCCAAAATCACAGCTCTGTAGTCTTTGATGTTTCATCATGTCAAGTTGCATTTAAGAAAAATGTCTAATTTTAATACTCCAAGGTACTGGGCACTTTGTAGCATCAGGGGAGCCTTTCGTACTTTCTGTCATTTTTATTTTTATTATTTCAACACGGAGAAGTAATTATTCTGTTTAGTTTAAACCAGGCAACAAATCAGGGCTAAGGTGGTTTGCAAATGTTTAGAACTGGTTTAGACATCAAGTTTATGGTGTCCCTTCTTAGTTCAAAAACCTCCAAAGTTCCCAATGGCTCAGCACATAGTGCTCACATCTGCTGTTTGTCTTATGATCCAGCATATCCAGGCCCTGATCCTATTGCTCACGTCTCCTTGAAAACAAATATGGACCGCAGTTGGCATATTACACCCTCACTTCCTCCTCCTGGCCTTTCCTGGTGTAATTTTCACCAGTAAAATTGCCATCTCCATTTCCTTTCCCCATCCTGATCCCATTCTCCTAGCATCATTCCAAATGGCTCCCTGTACCTACAGACTCCTCCTAAACTTCTCTCTCCTTTGACCTGGCCCCTTTTACTCTGCGTTGGTGTGTTCTGTTTTCTGCATTGATCTGAGGGCAGGGCCTGGGCATCTATCTTTCCTTGTGTCCCCACAGTCTGTAGCATAGGTTAAGTGTGTTGGCTGATTGGTTAGTTAGTAGATTGGTTGATTAGCTGATGGGACAAACCAGTTGCCAGGGAAACATTCCTTCACAAGCCCAAAGGAGAAGATGAGGAGGCCAAAGGAGAAAGGGAAAAGCCAGGTTTAATATGCATATGAATTCCCTGGGGACTCTTGTTAAAATGCAGATTCTGGTTCAATTGGATGTAGGGTGCAGCCTCAGAGCCTGCCTTTCTAATAAACTCCTGGGGAATGTGATGCTGCTGATCTTAAGACTATACTTTAAAATCATGAAGTAATCTACTATTTTTCTGGGGCATGAATTTGTTTGTGCACTTTCTGAAGCTGGGATGTGGTGCCAGCAGCCGGTTTAGCAGCCAAGTTCTAGGTCAGTCTTGTTCTTTGCTTTTCCTGGTGATATACAAGGTAGTTCTCTTGAAATAATTCAATATATTTGAGAAAGAAATTTTAGGGCATAGTGTCAAGTTCATAGAGCCAAATACCCTCTGCAGTGCAAGGCCCATGCAGTGGGCAGAATAATGGTCCCCTAAAGATATGCACACGCTAATCCCTTGGAAAATAAAAGGTTGCGATTAATGTTATGGGACCTTGAGATTTGGAGATTATCATGGATTATCAAGGTGGGCCCACACTAATCCCATGAACCCTTGAAAGCTGAGAACCGCCTGATCAGCGTGGCTTAGTATTTGAGCATTGACCTATGAGCCAGGAGATCACATTTCTATTCTGGTCAGGGCACATGCCCCAGTTATGGGCTTGATCGCTAATCAGGGGCATGCAAGAGGCAGCCAATCAGTGATTCTCTCTCATCATCCATGTTTCTATCCCTCTCTCTTTCCTCTCTGAAATCAATAAAAATATGTTTTAAAAGATGATGGCTGAGAACCTTTCCTAGCTGCAGTGACAGAGAGAGATGGGAGGACAGAAGAAGAGGCAGGAGAATTTTGAAGTATGAAATAGAATCAACCAGCCATTGTTGTCTTTGAAGACTGAGGAAAGGGCCATGAGCAAGGAATGCAGGTGGCCACTAGAAACTGAGGATGGCAAGGAAACAGGAGACAGATTCTTTCCTAGAGCATCCAGAAGGAACGCAGTCCTATCAATGCCTTGATTTTAGCCCAGTGAGACCAGTGTCAGACTTCTCACCTATAGAAATGTAAGATAATAAATGTGTTGTTTTTAAGATGTTAAATTTGTAGTAATTTGTTACAACAGCAACAGAGAGAGAGAGAGAGAGAGAGAGAGAGAGAGAGAGAGAGAGAGAGATCAGTGTTGTGAATGCAGCACTATGGGAAAGATGTTGCTTAGCTGGTTTTGCGTGGGCAAACCTAAGTTTCTGAGCACCAGAATCTTAATAGTCAGGTCACAGTCACCCAGTTCAAGTCTCTATTGGAAATAGAGCCTCCATCCAGTGGACCTTCTTGAGATACCTACTAGAATGAGAATAATACAATTCTCTATAGTAACAAAAGCATAAACATTCACAAGGAACAAAAAGATCATACAGGGGGTTTTAGTATTGCTTTCTCGCCCTGGTGAGAACCCTCATCCAGTGTGGCTGAGGAAATCTAGATTTTGCACACTCCTCACTGTGGCCAATGTGTTTTTCCTGTCTGCACGTCAAAGTTTCTCTTTCCTCTTGAGTATATTTTTTTATTTTTGCATTTGACATTTACATGCGGTAGTCTTCATTAACTGGTTTCTTCGGAGATTTGACTTCAATAGATATTGCTCCTGGCTGATTGATGACATTTCATGTGAATGAGAATGCTGCATGGACAACAGTTTTCTCTTTCTCCCTCTGTGTTCCCAAGTCCACAACCAGCCTTCTCTAACAATTGAAGGGCATTTTAAAGCCTTTTGTAGGTGGAAAGAGTCACTTTCAACTTGGAGTCTGAGCTGAAATATGGTTCCTTGTAAGTCATTTTCTATTTAGTGTTCTAGCAATGCCATGACACTGTCTACATTACCCTGTTAAATGTCTTCTGAAATCAGTAGTTCATGGGCATTACAGTTTTTCCATCTCATACCCCGTGTGTGTGCCACAAACATGGGCAAAACAACAATGAAATTTGGAATACTCTATACAAACAGCATAAGGATATTGAAGATGTTGCCTGTAGGGCTCAGAAAAAAACAGCAGTTTTCATTTTACCACAAGGATGATAATTCCCTGCTGTTCTTAACTTGAAGAGATTTATCTTTGTATCATGAATGGATGTTGAATTTTGTAAATGCTTTTCATGTGTCAATTGATATGATTGTATGATTTTTCTTCTTCAGCTTGTTGATATGGTGGATTATATTAATTGATTTTCAAATGTTGAACCAGTCTTGCATACCTGGAATAAATCTCACTTGGATTTATTGGTATATAATCTTGGTCATGGTATATAATCTTTTTTATGAATTCTTGGATTTAGGTTGCTAATATTTTGCTGACAACTTTTGCATCTAAGTGCATGAGAGATATTGGTCTGTAGTTTTTTGGTTTTTTTAAAAAAAAATATATACTACTATCTTTGTCTGATTTTGGTATCAGGATAATACTGGCCCCATCAAATAAATTGGAAAGTGTTCTTTTCTCTTTTACTTCATGGAAGAGATTGTGTAAAATTAGTGTTAATTTAAAAACATATTTGGTAGTATTTTCCAGTGAAACCATCTGGACCCGGAGATTTCAATTTCAGAGCTATTAAATTGTGAACTATAGCCTCACATTCCCCACATAGCTGACTAGAAAAATGCTTTGTTACTTTACCAGAGGAAGGATGTCAGAAAGGACCATGCCCCGCCCTCCCGTGCCACCTCACTGCAGCTGGCCCTTTTCTTGTCACCCCTGGGTGATTCCAAGGTTAGGGGTGGGGAGGACAGGAAGCCTCCCTTGTGGATACCCCAGGTGTTTCCTCACAGGGCAGGCCATGGAAGCTGAGGGTGGGTTGGAGGTGCATCACCAGGCCTCTACTACAAAAGAAGCAGGGAAACCAGGCAGGGTTCCCTAGCAGCCCTCATCCCTTCGTGGTCATGGAGCTTGATAACAACAGGTGCCAATCTGGAGACAGACACCGAGATGAAAAGTCCTGGGCAAGGGCCCTAGGCCCTACTGTGCTCTCGATGTTATCACTGCAACTGTAACAGCAAGGGGAGGCAGGTGTTAGCATTAAAAGAAGAACGTTTGAAACTGGGAAGAGAAGGACCGCAGCAGAGAAGCCGCACTGCACCCTGGGTTCACACAGGATGAGCCCCAGGGCTGCCCAAAGTTCTTATGAGTGCATGTTCAGCGTCACAGCCCTGTTTCGTTCTGTGTACAAACTGTATGCATACTTGGGCACACCACACACACCTGTGCGAGCAGATGCTTGTGTCCCAGGCTGGCTCAGAGGTCTGCAAGTCTGCCTGAGGTGGAGTCTCAGAACTCGCTTGGTGCCTATCTGGATTGGACTCCTCCACAGCAGACCAGCCTGCACTTTCCAGCTGGGAGCTGATGCCCCATTCAGCCTTGCTGGGGGAGGTGTAGGCATGTCCCCTGGATGGCAGTAGCAGGTGAGGGAGGTGCTGAGGAGCTGGCAGGAGCCTGCATGGTTTGCTATGTAGGGATGGAGGGCTCAGGTTTATTTACCTTGCTTAGAGTCACATGGTAAATGACAGAGTCAAGGCCTGCATCTAGGTCAGTCTGGCATAAGAGTTGTAAACAATGTGCCTTAATTTTGCCACTTGTACAGTGGAGAAACTAATAGTCCTAACCTCCAGGTACAGTAATGAGGATTAAATAAGATAATCATGTAATAATCTAGCACATTGTCTAGATAGAATATAGTAAGTGCTCAATAATATTAGCCATTGTGACTATTAATATTAAAGTGCCATTTTATCACCAAAGGTAGAATTGCAATGATGATGGAAAATATTTAGCATTTACACAAGTATGATGAAATTAGAGGTGTTTCTGGTTCATAGACATATGAAGTCTTATTAGAAACTAATTTAAAACTGTGCCCCAATCTGAGCCCACCTGTCAGCATGTCTGTCTGCCTTGGTCCTAGATGGAGTTGCCCTTCTGCCTGCCCCTCAGAACCTCTCTATACAGTCAACCAACATGAAGCATCTCTTAACATGGAGCCCAGTGATCATGGCTGGAGAAACAATCCACTATTCTGTTGAGTACCAGGGGTGAGTTTTTTTGAATTGTGTTTTGTTTTTTTTCTTAGTTGTTCTCCCTTGGAAAGTAGTTGATTGCTGGAGGCACCCCATTTTTCAATCCACAAAGAGCCCAAGGAAGCTTTGTGAGCCCAGAGATTGATTATCTCCAGTGACCTGCTGCCTCTGGGTGCACGGGCATTGGGAGAGTTGAAGAAACAAGGGAAATTGTTCTGTGGATTTGATAATGAACTCTCTGGGAACCCAACAGTGTATAAACACATTTTGGTGGAGCTTTTTTTCAATGGTGAGTCAACTGTCTAATGCTGTAGAAAATCTTTTTAAAAAAAATATGTTTTTATTGATTTCAGAGAGGAAGGGAGAGGTAAAGAGAGACAGAAACATCAATGATGAGAGAGAATCATTGATCGGCTGCCTCCCGCACGCCCCCCACTGGGGATCGAGCCCACAACCCAGGCATGCGCCCCTGACTGGAACTGAACCTGGGACCTGTCAGTCCACAGGCCGACGCTCTATCCACTGAGCCAAACCAGCTAGAGCTGTAGAAAATCTTAAGAGTTTGACTCTGACTTCAGCTGGATAGGTCCCTGGAGACTCAGATCCTTTGGGGGGTAGGGGAGACCTCAGTTTTCCTGTCTATGAGCCAAAAGAAATTGTGACCCTAAAGGTCAGCTGCCCAGGGGCCAAGCAGGCTTGCTCCTTTGCAGGTATTCAGGCCCTTGGAGCCATTGAGGAGTGACAGGGACACAGAGGTGCTCAATATACGGTATTTCATTAACAATAAATACTAGTCAGGGTACAGTTGACCAGGTTTCTGGATGTAGGGAGCTTGCATGTAAAGGAGGAGGCATCCAGTAAAAAGGTAAAGAAAATAAATATTTAGGTCTGCACTGTCCAGTGTGGTAGCCACTAGACACAGAGAGCTATTTAAATTAAATGACAATGTCTGTTTCCAAGACACACTAGTCACATTTTAAATTCCTAATAGCCACATGTGGTCGTGACCACCATATTGAATGACACCAATATAGAATCTTTCCATCATCACAGAAAATTCTACTGGACAACACTGCTCCAGGTAATTTCAGATAGCAACCAGTGCTGGGAGGAAGCTAAAAGGCTGATGCGAAAGACAGTTAACTCTGTGGCTCCTTTTCATTGGGTGGTCAGGGAAGGCCTGCCTGGGGAGTGATATCTAAGTCTATTTCTGAAGGATAGGAGGAGTCAGCCAGTGTGAGCAGCAGAGACAGAGTCTTTGGGACACAGCAAACAGCTGGTTAGAGGTCCTAAGGTTAAAAGAGCTCAGCAAGGAGGCCAGTGTGGAGGAAAGAGCATGTGTAGGGGTGAAGTGACAGAGAGGCCAGAGAGTCTTGGAAGCCATGGGAAAGAGGTTGGATTCCATTCCAAGTGTTTTGGAAGCCATTAAGGATAGAAATGTCATGATTTGCTGAGTGATGAATGGTTTGAAGAATAACGGGAGTATGAGCTGGAAAATCAGGAGACCATAGCAAGGCAAGGGATGACAGTGGCTGAGATTGGGGTGGTGACCCATGGAGATGGAGAGACCTGGACACATTGGGATTTGTGCCTAGTTTTCCTTTGATTGGTCATAAAAGGAGTAAGGTCATAAAAGGTTGGTTAGGGAGGAGGGTAAAGGAACTGGAGTTTGGAGCAAATGATTATTTTGCTGACCCATGTAAAGCAGGTGAATGAGGCAGTTACTTGCAACCATCGTTGAGCCTGGGTGGAAGAAACTGGTGTGACCCTGTGCCTTCCTCTCTTTGGCTAGAGAGTATGAGAGCCTGTTCATGAGCCACATCTGGATCCCCAGCAGCAGGTGCTCACCTACCACAGTTCCTGAATGTGACGTCACCGATGACATCACTGCCACCGTGCCTTACAACCTCCGTGTCAGGGCCATCCTAGGCTCACAGACTTCAGCCTGGAGCATCCTGAAGCCACCCTTTAATCGAAACTCAAGTAAGATACGTCTCTCTTTACTCCCCCACCGCCACCAGCCTTCCCCTTCAGAAACCATATTCTCTGAGTTTTTCAGGATTCTTGTTAGCATCAAATTAGTCTTGCAAAGCCAGAGTACTGTGAACACAAATAAATTCACTGGTTCATTTAAAAATATGCCAACTGCTTCCCTCATGCCCTCTTTCTTATTTTGAAAGAGGCTTTGGAAGTCATTCTCTATCTCTGTCAGGGTCTGCAGCTGTTGGGGACACTGACGTTGCAAAGCTGGAAGGAGAGCTAGCTGCTCTAGAAGTGGGGAGATGGGGTTAGGATTGCTTCTTTCCACGCTGACAGTGCCTCAATAAATCATCTAGTGACTCCCATCTGGTGCCTCATTAACCCCATGTTGCCTGTGTGAGCAGCTTTTCCTTGCACAATAAGATCTATATATTTAGCAGAACCACCAGAAATAGTTGCTCTTCTATGGTCACTGGGAAATAAACAACTTTTCTGTAGCAACAGTACTTGGCAAATGATTGAGAAAGAAGTAAGGGAAGACTATAGATAGGTGGCCAAATATGGCAGAGCACAAACAATAGCCAATGTGTAAAAGGGTGTGTGTGTTTAGGAGCAGCAGGAGCAAGGACTGAATGGCCAGTGGGTAAGGAAGCAGCTGGTCACATGGTGAAGGATTTTGACAAATCAGTAGAGGGAAGTCATGGGGAAAAAAGATTGTCTAGGCCAGGTTTGTCTTACAGTCACTTGCTGCTGTGTGAAAGGGAACTGGAGTAGGACAAGCATGCAGGGTAGGGCAAGAGTGAGGAGGGGATGGTAACACTCGAGCTGAGCCAAGATGGGTCCTGATCCCGGGAGTGGGGGAAGGGATGGGGAAGAGAGAACAAATTTGAGACATGGCGAGTTAGGACAGAGCTTGGGGACCAGTCATTGGGAGAGACAACAATGGTGTCCAGCTTCCAATTGGGGTTGGTGAGAATGTCATCCAAGTCAGAGAACCCAGGAGAAAAAACTACTCTTGAGAAATAAGAGATACTTCTGGCCTTGGGCTCTGAGATAGAGATTCCTACAAGATAACACACCAAGATATCTGATTGGCAGCTGGAAATCAGGCCCTGGGGCTGCGACGGTTAAGGACAGCACACAGCACAACATTAATAGCTTATGGCTTGGGAGCAGATGTAATTGTCCAGGGACATTATTGGAAGACAAAGACAACTCAGGACAGGATCCTGGGAAACCTCAGGGTTTAAAAGGAAGGTGAAGGGAGAGCACCAGTAGGTGGCTGGGCAGGTAGAGGTCATGGATGGGAGAACAGAAGAACTGCTGATAGGCCTGAAGGAAGCACCTAAATGGGTCCTTGAGAAAGTGGCTTTATGGGATGGTGGGGGTGGTGGTTAGCTTGCTGGATGGAGGATTGAGTGGAGGTAGGAAGGAGCAAGGCAGATGCTCTGCTGAGACAGGTAGGGCGATAATGTGTTCTGTTTGGAGCTGCAGGAGAGGCAAGGAAAGGCCCTTGGTGAACTCTGTTGTTTGATGTGGCAGAAGATCCTCTGCTGTGAGTGAGGACAAAGAAGGTTAAGAGCAGCATGGACAGTAGTGGATGAGTCAAAGGTTCCTGGGGAGTGTATGAGATTGGGTAGAAGTCAGAAGGGTTTAGAAGGTGGGGATGGTGGTGGGGGTAGCCCAAGCTGGCTGAGAAAGTGAAGATTGATTTGAAGGAGAAATGGCCCTCTAGAGTCAGATGGATGTGGATCAAGTCCCAGCTCAGCCACTGGTAGTTGGGTCCCTCCCTGCCTCCTCATCTATAAGAAGGGCAACAGTTTGCCTCAAAGCATAGTTGTGGGAACTATACAAAATGAAATGCATAAATACTAATTGCAGTGCTGTCCTGTTATAGTACTCAGCTATTGTTAAGTATTGTTTTTATTATTGTCCTAGACATGTCCCACTTGAGAGCTATAGAGTAGAGGAAGGAAAAGGTGGGGACAGGAGTGGAACCATTGGAATATGTTATCAATAGGAATTTTGATGCAGAATGTGAGCTCTTCTGCCCAGGCACTAGGAGGATATAGTGGAAGCAATGGGACCCCAGTGCTAGGCCCTGGGAGAGGCTGGGGGACACTGGAGGGTGGAGCAGCTTTGCCTCTGTCCACAGTGCCCGGGTATCATCCAAACCACCTCCCTCTGGCTCCTGGGAGCAAGGGGCTCCCGCCAAGACCACTGCTGGGGGCTGGCAGCTGTTGTTGGAAAGGGAGGCATGGACCAGAGGGAGATAAAGAAGTGCCTATAAACCTATGTGGCTGGGGGAGTTGTTCTCAAGCAGGAAAAAGTTTTGTTGCAGGAGGAGGAACAGGAGTCTGTGTACCTACACCAGAAGGTGGAAGATGTGATCCTGTGTGATCCCTGGGCAGGTGGAGTTCACTACAGAGCTGGAATGAAATCGTGGTGCTTAAGGGCATTAAGTCTGTTCCTTTGTCTCTGCACTATGACTTCTCCCCAAACATATGAAAAGTCGTGTTTTTAAGGCTGCCCTGACCAAGATCTCCTATTCTCACAGGGAAGCCTTTTTGAGAGCAGAGGTTCTTAACCTTGATTGCACATTCCAGTCACAGGGGAGCTTTAGCACCACTTACCCCAGCAGGCTTCCTGAAGCCACACCTAACTCCAGGCTCAGCATCCATTACCCTGTTTCACTGCCACCTGGCCGGCCACACCTGGGGGTGAGCAGATCAGTAAGACTCCGGGGCTGTGCCCCATCTCCAGTGGCTCTACCCCCTGGCCTCTGCCAGACCCCACCTGTCTGGCTGGTATGTCTTGAACTCTTCAAGGAAGAAACTGGGCCCAGAGGTGCCCAAGATATTGGCGTCGGGCCAGACCAGGAACTTGAGGATGGTGCCCGCCTTGGAGCCCAGGAAGAGTATGTCTGGGGCCCATCCCCAGAGTCTGATTTAGATCATCTATGTGCATCCTGTTCATTGGAGTTTAACATTTCCCCAGGTTATTCTCATGCACAGCCAGAGCTGAGATCCACAAGTACAGAGGCTAAACACTCACACAGAAAAGTCTAGAAACCTGGAAAAGATACAGCCTCAAATTCTGGCTTCTAACGGTGTGACTTTGGGCAAGTCACTTACCTCTCGGAGGCTCAGTTACGTCATCTGTAAAACAGGAGTAGTATTTACTTTCTTAAGTTTGCTGGATGGATTAAATGAGTTTGTAGAGTGCACAGGACAAAGGTTCCTGCTCCAACACTCAAAATATTCTCTGAACTGGAATGAGAATTTTTTTTTGGAGAATTTTTCTAATTCTATTCTCAATAAAGATGGAGATCAGGGGATTCTAATCATGCTTGACCTAAAACTGAAGTAGTCAAACATCTCTCTTCCTTCTGGAGGTGCTTCAGAGGTAGTACTGGTGGTGCTGTGTGCTCATCAGAAGCCTCTGAACTGGGTATATTTTGCATAGTTGGTCCCGGACTTCCCAAGTCCTTCTGTCCCCTATCCAGGCAGCTCTTCAAATGCCAGGAAATGCTTTGCTCTCTGAAAACTCCCTGCAGGAAATGACTTTCGTTTGAGTGTCCACTGACCCTCGTGCAGGGGGATTTAGCTCAGACTATACTCTATTTCTCAAGCCAAGGCCAACAATCAGGGTGCCCTTCTGTTCCTGCAGTGTCTGGATCTGAGAGGTAAGTATGGCTCCATCCTCACTAGCCAGGGATAGAGACTGCCTGTGTGGGCCCTTCTGTTCTCAGTCTGCTGATGGGAAAAGATCCATGGGGACTGCTGGCCCATCTGTTTGGGGTCCAGCAATTTCTAGAGTTGGTTATTGGAATTTGTAAAACCCTCTGGTTTTCTGACATCCTCCATTAAGGATATGAGATGAAGAATACTTGGACTGAGGTCAGAATGGCCAACTCATTCACAGGCTGCTGATTTGCTGATATTTGAAATATCAAACATATCACTGATCCATGGGAATTGTAGTAATCTTTGTCATTTAAAAAAACTTGCTCTTAATTCAAAAAGCATTTACTGAGCACCTGCTGAGTACAGGAGGGCTTATCAGTAGACATGCTTCTGCATGCTGTGAAGTTACAGCCAACCCCTTCCGATGCCAGGAGCCTGGCATGTTTCTACCAATGACTGGTCATGGTTTCCCAGAACAGAAACCAGTCCTGTCTGGGACTGGCTTTGATTCTCCTCTTTTCTTGCCGACAGCCATTCTAACCCCACCTGGAATGGAGGTCACCAAGGATGGCTTCCACCTGGTGGTTAAGCTGGAAGACCTGGGACCCCAGTTTGAGTTCCTCGTGGCCTACTGGAGGAGGGAGCCTGGTGCTAAGGTAAGACCTCTGGCCTTGGCCTTTGAGTCAGACTTTGGAGAAGGCATCACAGACCTCTGAGAGGTGGTTGAGAAGCTGGCCCTGTATTGCTCGTTGTATGGGGTGGCCAGGCTGAGTGAAGTGTGGGAAAGCAGAGAGATGGGAGGAGGCTGACAATTCCAGTAGCCTCCTCCTCAAAGAACCGCCTTGGTTCCACCCAGGCCTTGGCTCCATCCCAGGCCTTGGCTGGGAGCCTTCTCAGGCCAAGCTTTACTGAAGTATGGGGGCTGCCTCCTTGTTATAAACTCTAACATAGTTGGATTCACAGTACTTTTTCAATACATTTTCTCCCCTCATCAGCTTGTCTTCTCAGCCATTCTCCCTGGCATGTTTAGGTACCGCAGACCAGGGTGTTCCAGATCAGCCAGAAGATTTCAAAAATGCATGAGGCTGGCACAAGCCTCTTGAGGGTGTGTATCTGGGCAGGGTGCAGAAGTCAGGGCAGAGAGCCAGGGACTGGATAACCCTGCCTAATTATGAGCCACTGGGTCACACAGAATGCCTAAATGAGGTGCTGCCCCTCCCTGTGGGATGGCTGCTGCAAGCTGGGATGGGTGGGAGGTCAGCTCTCCCAGAGGGAATGGTCAAACAGCAGCAGCCACAGCAGCAGAAGGGGTTGAACTTAAGCAGGAACTAGAGCAGTGGTTCTCAACCTTCTGGCCCTTTAAATACAGTTCCTCATGTTGTGACCCAATCATAAAATTATTTTCGTTTCTACTTCATAATTGTAATGTTGCTACTGTTATGAATCGTAATGTAAATATCTGATATGCAGGATGGTCTTAGGCGACCCCTGTAAAAGGGTCGTTCGATCACCAAAGCAGTTGCAACCCACAGGTTGAGAACCGCTGAACTAGAGGATAGTCAAACCTGTGGAGTTCTGTCCAAGCTGATATGGTGACAAGGCCCACTGCAGTCAGCACAGACAAAGGTAGACTTTATCATAAGGATTAGTATGGTACAATAAGGGGTTCTGATAGAATCTATGAACAGAGCTGGCCCAGAGCTGGGTTCTTACCCAAGGACCCTTGCCTATGGAGTCCCTGCTTCCCTCTGGTGGGTCCTCTCTATTGCACTCTTGCTGTGGCCTTCTCTCCAGCTTACTCCCAGGCCCTGATTCTTTATCAGTCCTTCCTACACATTCCTGTGGCTGTGCCTCACCATCCCTCAAGGCCTCTCAGGCCTAATCCCACTCCCCTTAGTCCCTGTTTCTGGCTCCAATTATTCTCACGACCAATTCCCAAGAGAGGAAATCTGATTGGTCCTGCTTATCTTATCAGGCCAAGCTTAGGAGTCGAAGGTTGCTGGCTGGCCTTTGATGGAGGACCCTTCTTAGACGAGGGGTACCTCCGACCACACAACAGTGTCAGGGGAAGAAGGGCATATGCCTCTGTATCCACTCAACAGGGGCTATAGTTTGGGTAGTTTCCCTGGAAGGTATGGGTGGGTGGAATGGGCGTTAACAATGGTTGGACATGGCATTGCCAGCCAAGCAGATGGAGTGGGGGAGGAGGGGACAGATCAGGGCCTGGGCACGAGGGCACAGGTAGCTCCTCCCTCAGATTCTTTGGATGGAGCCCTCTCTCCACCCATGGTAACTGGGAGGGCCATGCTGAGAGAGGAGTATATACCCTGAGTCATCTAAGCGTGGTCCAAACAAGCCTCCACAGGGTCAGACGTGGAGCACAGCCTCAAGGAGTGGGTAGAGGTGGAAGGGTGTACAGATGAATTAACAGATGGCTGGCTGGCTGGATGTGTGAGGAGGCACTGCCCACTGGTTCCATTGCTCCTGTGCACTTATCCCCCCAGCTCAGTCATGTTAGTATTTCTGACTTCTACTTCTCTGTCCACGTTATCCTATTGGAGAGATCTTCCCCAACCATTCTTTTTGGTGCCTCCTAATCACTCTACCTTCTTGCGCTGCTTCATTTTTTTTCTTATTACCACCTGATAAATAGTACATATTGTCTGTCTTTTCCCACGTAAGCTCCAGGACAGCAGGGACTTTGTTTTGCTCAATGCTATGCTCCAGTGCCTACAACAGTGCTTGCCACATAGTACATGCATAATAAACAGATATGAATGAATGAATGAATGAATGAATGAATGAGGGAACATTCTGTGTGCAGCCTGGAAAGGAAATAGCTGCAGTTTTCCTTCCCTGGTTCTTCTCTCTCTTTCTTGTCTTGCTTCCCTCAGTGTGTAACTGGTTTCTGGTCTCCTAAAGGAACATGTCAAAACAGTGAGAAGCAGGGGCGTTCCAGTGCACCTGGAAACCATGGAGCCAGCGGCTGTGTACTGTGTGAAGGCCCAGACGTTCGTGAAAGCCATCGGGAGGCACAGCGCCTTCAGCCAGGCAGAATGTGTCAAGGTGCAAGGTAAGGGTGGCCTGTTTGTTCCCTGGGGTCCTGCACAGGTGACAGCCCCCCGCCCCACCCCCCAGAGGATGCTTGGCTGCCTGCTGGGTTTCTTTGGTTCTCAGTCTCCGGTGGCCTCACTGACCTGCTTCCCGAGGCTGGATGGGTTCCTATGGTAAAGGTGTGCTTCACTCCAATTCCCCTACAGGCGAGAGTCCACTCTGGGCCTGGGTGGCGGTCCCTTGAGCCACTGTCTGGAACTTTCTTTCCTCTGAAAGGTCCCTAGGCCTGAGGCCAGATATTGCAAGGCTGACTTACCGTTGAATCAGAGGCGGGTGGCAGGAGAGGCAGTCAGGGCTGAGAGTCAGCCTTATGAGGAGACAGCTCCCTGTACATCACAGATGCTTTCAGCTAGGAGGGGCCTATGGGAAGTCTATAGACTCCATGTTTGACTTAAATTTTTTCCCTTGACATTTTTATGATCTAAAACCGCTCAATGTTTAAAAACCCTTTGAAAAGAAACAAAACCCACATCCCACAATTCTGCCACTAAAACACCACTAGTGACATATTTGTATATAACTTTTTAGCATTTAAAAAATAATTATTTTGCACATTTAGTTTCAAAAAATATAAAATACACATGGAGGCTCCCCTTTCTACCTTTCCTTTTAGCACAAATGGTAGCATACTCTATTTGTTATTCTGAATCTTGTCTTTTCCACTTTTTATATCATAGATTTTCCATATCTACACAGAACTTCATCTTTCTTTATGGCTATGTAGTATTCCATTTTGTGTATATATAACAGCTCTATATTGAAGGGCATTTCATTTCCCCCAACCCCCCCGCAATATTTTGCTATTGCTGGCAGTGCTTTACCTTGTACGTAGATCATCTTGCTGGTAGACTTGAAGGATACATTCCTGGAGGTGGAGTTGCTTGGTCAGAGGCATACATATTGGGCTTTAACTGCTGTTCCCAGATTTCCCTCCAGAAGTGTGTCATCCTTCCCACATGTTGGACTGGACACATGTTGGCTCGCACATAGGCTTTGTGCCTGCTTTTTCACAAATATCCACCACATTTCCCAAATGGATTTTCTGATTGCCATTTTATACTACTTTTAAAACTAGATAAGTCAAGCTTGTTAAAAATTGAAACAACACAGAAGTATATAAAGTAAGAGGTACATGTTTTCCACCAAGAATGTTTATTTTGGCAAGCTTAGCATTTAATCTGCAGGTATTGTGTGATACCAGTACTCACAGGCACTAATAGCACTATTGTGCTTACTGTTCTGTTTCTTGCTTCTTCACTGTAGTACCGTATTTGCCGGCGTATAAGACGATTTTTTGGCCCTGAAAAATATGCCTCCAAGTGGGGGGCCATCTTATACGCCAGGTACACTTCA